GAATGAATGAATGAATGAATGAATGAATGAATGAATGAATGAATGAATGAATGAAATATCTCTGTGGTTCTCAACCAAATAGTGGGAATGGGAAGAAAAACCTAGCCCTTGTCCCTTCCAGAGCCCGCAGTGTAAGACCCTACAGCACCTTCTACCTCTTGCCTCCCACTCTTAAAAAATGCGGCCATGAAAGAGTCGCTTGGGCCATATTTGTTTAGTAGTGATTTTATTTTTATTTTTCTTGGCAGACATTTCTACTAGAACATTCTTCATCTTTGCATGAGTCGTGGGACTGGGCAATACCATCAGTATGCAGCCTCTCGTGGGACTCTTCTGTTTCTCATGGCTTCTTGCGACAGGTAAGAATAGATGTGCATAGATGCACATGTAGAAAGGGTGGCTCCATTGAAATCAATGGGATGAAACCAAATGTTAACTGCTAACTTTATGCTGGGGAAAAAATAAAACTGCCTCAAGGTGAAATCAGCAAGGTTAGCCTGGCTTGGGGCCAGGTTATTTGAAGGACCGCCTTTTCCCACTTTCATCTGCCCGACCCACCAGATTGGGGAGGCAGGGTATGTTACGGGTCTCCTCCATTAAGGAGGTCCATCCAGTGGGACAGAGAAGAAGGACCTTCTCCATGGTGGCTCCCTCCCTGTGGAACATCATCCCTACAGGTGGGACTTCCAAAAGGCCCTGAAGACACTGTTTTGCCAGCAGGCCTGGGGACCTCAGGTCGATACAGAGCCCATCAAATAGCTAGTATAAATGTGCTGTTGTCGCCAGGGGAGTGGGGAGGTGTAGTCAGTTTTGTATTTGGGATTTTTATCTCTATAAGCTGCCCGGAGTCACTGTGAGTGAGTTGGGCAGCCATATACATTACTAAAATAAAATAAAATAAAATAAAATAAAATAAAATAAAATAAAATAAAATAAAATAAAATAAAATAAAATAAAATAAATAAAAAGGTGGATGCAGAAAGAAAGCTAGTACTAGAAGGTTATCAAAAGTTGGGCCTTGATTAATGAAACAACAGGTCTGTTCTGCCTACCCTCCATCAACATTGGGCTTCCATAAATGGTTCCCCCAAGCCAAAAATTGTATTAAGTGCTGAGTGGTACCATCCGACCCATTCAGATGGGATCCTATCTATCTATCTATCTATCTATCTATCTATCTATCTATCTATCTATCTATCTATCTATCTATTTTAGAAATGTATAAGGCTGCCCAACTTCATGAGGATTCTGGGTTGCATACAGTAAAAACAATAGCATAATATTTCAAAAACACACCCAAATGCCACAAGAAAAACAACCATTAAAAGACAATCAAAAATGCAGGACCCATCACCCACCCTAATCCAATGCCTGGGGAAAGAGCCAGCTTTTTATAGTGTCTTGAATATGGCCATCATCATCATCATCATTGTTATTGTTGTTATATTACTATATTATTATTATTATTATTATTATTATTATTATTATTATTATTATTATTATATCGGGAGGAGGGTGTGTTCCAGAGAGCAGGGTCTGCAACAGAGAAGATCCTAGGTGTTTCCTAGGTGACACTGCTTAATGGATGGGACCTGCAGCATGCCAATTCTGCCTGATCATACAGGCCAGATTTAATCCTTTTGCTAAGTCTTCTCCCTTGGAAAACTTGTTCAGAAAGATCTAAAGTTCTAGGTGGTCAAACAGAAAGTTGCTTCCTGAAACCCAGAAACAAGAGGAGGCCCCAACTCCCTCTGGAGAGACATTCTTGGCTTCATTGCTTCAAGATGCAAATGGCTTCTCTACTAATACTAAGCCATTAGCAAACCATGTCCAGGATATTTATTTATTCCTTAGATTTATATCCTGCCTTTGTTGTACAACTCAAGATGGTGTACTTTATTTATTATTTATTTATTTATTTCAATTTATGCAACTGCCCATCTCAAATTCATAACTTTAACTGTTTTATACATATAAAATAGAATCGCCAACAACAGATCATCAACACAAGCATTGTATAGGCTCAGCCATGCATCTGGATCGCCAGGTTCAGTGACAGAACCATGTCTTTAAGGCCTCATGGAAGAGCAACAGGGTCAGGCTAATCTAATCTCTGGTGGGATGATTTTTCAAAGAATGGAATAGGCACTTTCCACATCTCTCTAATGACCTATAGGTGAGGTAGGGCTCTAAAAATCCAGTCTTTAAAGTCATATCTTCCCAGTTTTTGTTCGATAGATATTACTGGTTTATTGGGCCTTTATTAGCTGCATTTTTGCTTAATCAGCTGCTAGGTTAAGCATAAATGATCTTTGGAATTGACCTGACTTTTGTTTCCTAATGTCTAGGTAGCAATCTATCTGAAATAGGGAAACTATTTCCCTGAGAAATGATGTAAATTTTTACACTAACTATAAGGATTGGTTTGGTTTGGGGCATGCTTGAATATTTTCAAAAATACTTGATACTGATATTGATTTTGACTGAAACAAAGGATATCAGTTTGACGTGGGATCCAATTTGATAAAATATTCACATTCTCGCTTTAACTTGGGTAGAAAAAGCCGGGGGCTGACTCTTATTTGTCAAGAGAGAAATGCTACACAATACTGAAAGGTGAAAAGTATCCTGTTTCAGATAAAGAGATTGGAGAGTTGGGAATTCTCAAATTTCAGGGAGGTTAGGGCAGTGTTTTCTGGGCAAAGTGCATTGTGTCAACCTTACTGTTATGTGTTTGTAAGTGTGGGAGAAGCCTGATCATCTGGTAAGTCTGCTCAGAATGGCTGAATGAGAAGAAGCCTGGGGGTGGGGATAGGGAGATAAAAAAGAAAATCAAATCCTTTAACCAGCCATTTAACAACAGTTTGTGGACATTGGATAATAACACCATCACCAGAGCATCAGATGAAGTCTTACTGGAGGCAATGCTATGATTGCATTTCTCTATAAGTAAAAGCTTAATCTGTCAGCCACTTGCTTCCTCTCTTCCCCTTCCCTTCCCTTTTCCCATCTGGTCATTTGATCATAGATTTTTGGAAGTTTTGGAAGATAAGAGATCTCACAAGTGTTCTTGGCTGGTTTCAAAAATGGGTTAATTCAAGTCCCTAACAATGTGACATCCTGCGATTGAATCTGGGTTTGCAGCCAGCTAAATACCTTACTATCTTGGAGGTCTCAGGACCAACTAAGTGTTCATCCCTCTGCTCATCAGGAAGGCAAATTTATTCCCCCACCCAGGACCACACCTGCCCTTGTGGATCAGGAATGGTTGTGAAATAGTTGGGCATGATCTGCTACACTGCAAATGTACATCCAGTTTGCCACCAATTTATTATTCCCTTTTTAGAAAACCCTCTGGGACAGGGAGAGGAACCCCTTCTGGCCAACTGAGCTGCAGGCTGGCAACTGCTACTATCTCAAATGTGGCAACTGGTAAAGAGGGGATGGCAGCTAATCTGCTAAACCAGCTCTTTCTCAGTTATAGTATATAATCTCTAATTGTGTTTATGTTATTTTTGTTCTATTACCTATTATATTACTGCTTGGAGGCTGCAGGGTATTGTTGGCTGTGTTTCTGGCTTTGGGGCATAATAAGCAACTAATTCATTCATTTTTAGTTCATTTGTAGTTTCTTTGGAAAGAGAGCCAATTTGGTGAAATGATTAAGGCACAAGGCTAGAAACCAGGAGACCATGAGTTCTAGACCTGCCTTAGGCACAAAACCAACTGGGTGGCCTTGAGCCAGTCCCTCTCTCTCAGCCCTAGGAGGGAGGCAATGGCAAACCACTTCTGAAATCCTGCCAAGAAAACTGCAGGGACTCAACACTGAGAGAGCTAGTTTGGTGTGGTGGTGAAGGCACCAGGCTAGAAACCAGGAGACTGTGAGTTCTAGTCCCACCTTAGTCACAAAGCCAGTTGGGTGACTTTGCATCAGTAGCACCCTCTCAGCCCTAGGAAGCAGACAGTGGCAAACCACTTCTGAAATCTTGCCAAGAAAACTACAAGGACTTTTCCAGGCAGTTGCCAGGAATCAAAAACTGACTCAAAGCCCTACCCCCCCCCCCCGCCAAAAAAGAGAGTTTCTTTGGAAGTGCTCTGCTTCTTTTCAGAAAACCCACAGGTTTGGCCCAAACTCTCATTACCAGGGCTTGGTCTAATCAAGTGAACATCCTAATCCAGTATTAGAATGTAATACTGCTATTTTTAGGTAATTTGACCATATCTGGCCTTAGGGCTGAATGGATCGATCGATGGATGGATGGATGGATGGATGGATGGATGGATGGATTGATTGATTATGAACTTTTTCCCCCAAATTCTCCTCCAGGAAGCTGTCTAGAGTGTGAAAGTTGCACTGCATTTAATGAAGACTGTACTGGCAAATTAGAGCTGTGCAGTGAAGACCAAGATACCTGTGCCACCATAGTAACTGAAACCATAATGGGTGAGTTATTGGCCAGCAAGTACCCTCTCTCCCCTTTTATCCAAAGCTGAGGAATTTGTTTTACTCAATAAACTAATTCTCCCCACTACAACTTGCAAAAGACTTTCCCCAGGCAAAGCATCTGCTTTCTTCTTGAGTTATTATGAACTTTCCATGAGAAGGGATGGATGAATTTAATTAGGTGAATTGTTCCTTGGTAGCTACAGCTGATAACAGCGATAGTCCAAACTCTAAATCAGGTGTAGGGGATCAGGTTGGAGAAAGGTGGGGTAGCAGCTAATCACAGCCACCATTTTCATGACTCCTTATCTTGAATGTTCCTATCCAGGAAAAAGGACCAGCTTTGGCATTGTCAAGTCCTGCTATCAGTCATCCAAGTGTCTTGGGAGCAACACACAATACCCTTTTTTAAAAGTCAATGTGAACATTGAATGTAGTTCTTCACAAGTTGGGAAGATGGAAATTGAAGGAGGTGAAGCACTGGCCGATAGGAAAAAATCACTGTTTGAAAAGCTACTCCAAGTTAAAGACCTCATGAACAAAGATAGCAGTGCTATATCTGAAAATCTTAGAATTATGGCTAGAGAGTCCAGGGCTGTGACTGGAGAGCCCATGGTTGTGACCGGAAAGCCCCCGGTTGGGACTGGAAAGCCCCCGGTTGACTGGAAAGCCCCCGGTTACGACTGGAAAGCCCACGACTGGAAAGCCCCCGGTTACAACTACAAAACCCACAACTACCCAATTGGTTCAAACAACTACAGGTGACAATGCCCAGCAAACAGTTGCATCTTTTTTCCTTGCTCTCTCTACACTTCTGTTCATGAAAATTGTCCTATAATGAAGCAATCACTAGCACTGTCTCCGCGCTGGTGAAAACCACCTTCTCATTTCAGCAGGCACTTCTCTAGAGAAAATCATTATCCTGAAGACTTTGGTCTCCCTTGATTTCTTGAGTTGTAACCAATGGAAGGAAAAAATAATTTCTAACTTTGCATTTTGGGGGGGGGGGAGAAACAGGGAACAATTTCCAACAACGGGTTTCACTAGAGATTAGAATCAAAATAAAAGCCAAAACTAAATTTGGCATCATCTTTATGGAAAATTAGGAGAGAACAGGAAACATAAGTGGCATTTAAGGTTTAGAGGGCCTTCACACAGCTTCATCTGGTGCATCAGTTACAGCCCTTCTTGGAACAGAAGGCTTTGCTCACAGTCACTTAGAGTTTAGTTACCTCTCTATTAGATTATCGCAATGTATCTTACACGGGATTGCCCTTGAAGAGCATTCAGAAGCTATAGCTGGTCCAGAATTTGATGGCACTCCACTGAGCCTACATAGCACTGTAGCTGCAGAAGCTCCATTGGTTACCACTTGGCCTTTGGGTGTAATTCAAGGTGCTAAGATTCACATTTAAAGGCCTCCATGGCTGATGACCTGAATTCTGCAGGACCTTTTCCCAATGAGATCTTTATGTCCAATAGGATCAAGCACATCCCCTTGTTCCAAAAATGCCTTGTCTATCATAACCCTCCCCCTGTAGAATAGCATTTCTCTAGACCAGGGTTTCTCAACCTTGACAACTTTAAGATGTGTGGACTTCAACTCCCAGGATTCCTTTTGTCATTTAGGAAATCAATGAAGATCAGACTACTTAAACAGGGCATGTGGTCTGAATGATTGTGCAACTTGGGTTTCATTCCTAGATTTTATATAGGTAATTTTACTGACTATGCTACATGGCTATATATTGTCTTTTGCTTTTATCATGATTTATGGAGGGGAAACTGTACACTGCTCAAAGTTGGTTCTGATGGCCTACAAACCCTGTAAACAAACAAACAAACAAACAAACAAATGCTTACCGTTTGATAATAAAGTCAGCTGAATGAGATTAATCTGAAGGATGGTTCCCAGACAAGTTACATTCTGTTTATCTTTTAAATAGTGCTAGTTTGGAAACCAGTTGTCTTTCCACATCTGTATGTCATAGAGAAAGACATTCCAAGCAAGTGTCTTTTCCGATGTTGACGCTTCACAAACCAGTTCCAGGAATAGCTATGCTTCTATGACACCATCACTAGATCTCAGAGACGTTCTATGTTATGAACGTGCATGACAACTGATCTGTCTTCTTTCAGACATCATGGCTGTTGAGGAAAAGCTCTCTTAGCTATTTATATAGCTAAGAAAATCACTCCGAAGCAATTCAAGGGGTTGGTGGGACATCTCATCTTTACTTCTAGGATCACACTTTTCCAAGAACACAACCTTGGGATGTCACAACCTTGGGATGTAGAAGCATGCCTACATCCTCATGTGACTGCAATTTTTTTCCATGTGATTGCAATTTTTTTCCCCCAGCAGTGTCACGGTAACAAGAACTGGAGACAGTGAGGTTTCTCTGACTGCAGGATGCTTACCATCTCAAAAGCTGGATGGCAAACAAGTCTATGTAATAACTAACTAAATAAATAATAAATAAATTCCAGAAGGAATTGGAATTACATGGAATTAAAGGCTTCCTGTCCAACAGAAATGATCTTAGCAATCAGTATGGTGAAAAGAACAAGGCATTACCAAAGATTCAACATTCATCATTTCTCCCTGTCTTGAATGTAGTCCATCTTTAGGGCACTGGAATTACATCAGTTAGCTCATATTTTAAGCACAGTTTAATTCCATCCAATTTTAATCTCAGTACAAAAATGAGTATTTAAGTCTGCATTTATCCCCCAATGATACGCATTTTAAAATGCAAATTTCTCCAGTAAAATGTTTTTATTCTTTTACAAGCAATATTTCATTAAAAAAAAGTTGTTTCTTTTGTTTTATGCTGGTGTTCCTCTAATGTTTCGAAATAAAACATGGAGAATGTGGACAAGTGCATAAATGAAAAGATAATTGTGTTTGAATTAACACATTGGTTTAGGAAGAGTTAATTAGGCCAATTCATATTAATGAATATACATTAAAAGTTGAACTTGATTAATGTTGTTTTCATTCTTTACCTTTGCAGTCCAAATATAGATCTTTTGGTTTAATAATGCAAAAATTCAATTTTAGCAATATTATATTCCCAGGGATTTTAAAGTTTGTTGACACTGCAAGTCTTTATCTTCCTTATTACTTTTTTATTTTAATGTTTCCTAACATTCATGTTCCTTAAGTAAGAGCATTTTTCATAACCTATCTATCCAGAAGACAATTAACTTTCCAGGTATAAATTACCGTATTTTTCCGACAATAAGACGCCCCCATGTACAAGACGTCCCCCACTTTTCCAGCCCAAAATTAAAAAAT